CTCCCCTGCGGCGAGCCGCCTCTTTCCTTCCACTAACGGCCCCGCCGGAGTCCCCTCCGCCGGCCAGCTCCCACATCTGCGCTAAATCCAGTTCAAATGTTGCGGTTGCCATGATAACTGTCAGAGGAGCTGCCCTCAGTGCACTGCTAGGAAATCTTGCCCTGAATTTTATTCCTGCCTGGGCTTCAGGGTTGCTGTCCCTTCACTCCCTGGCCTCACAATCCCATAGAAAGGCTCGCAAGTGAGCGTTTTTCTGCTTACGTGTGGGCAAAGCACGCTCGGAGGAGCCACGGCTGTATGGCCGGCTGATAAGACTTGGCTTCCCTGGCGAACGCGTTTCAGAGTCACTGGCCTAGCGCACCAGTCAACTGCTGGTCGTTGCTGTCCTCGGCCATGAACACACCTGTATCAGAAGGATCATGTAGGATCCAAGGACCTTACAAGGTTTACTTTAGGCAAGCTGAAGTCAAGGCTTGCCTCTCCCCAAAAGGACAGGCCCGGCCTTCTAAATTAGCAGAATTTCTTGCGTTCCAGAAATCTCTGAGAGAACCTTGTGGTCAGAGGATGCTACTTGTGTCCCCACGGAGGCCGCAAGCTGGTAGAGCGGGAGCTAGGATGGACCAAGATCTGCGGTGGCGGAGCGCAGCGAGGAGAGAGATGAGGCTGTAAGGCTGGGTCAGGACCCCCGGAGCGGGGGGGCGCGGGAGCCGCTCACAGCTTGGAAGCGGGAGTGGTGGTGGGCAGCTCAGGGCACTGCAGGGAATCGGGTCTTACAACCACATGGGGAAAAGGGGCTCTCACTTCTGCAGCTGTGATGAGAGAGAAAGGTGAAGTCCTCCTTTTCATGGAGTGAATGCGGGAAAAGGTGTAAGTGAAGGCACTAGAGATTTGCCTGAGGAGTGCCTGAAGAGAATGACTCTAATCTTCGTGGGAGCAAGTCCAAGACCAACTAATCAGAGCAAAGAGTCTAGCTAAAGAACGTAGTCCTTTGTCTTGCATACAGGCTTTCATTTCTGATATTTTTGTATTCTTTCAATGTATTTGTATTTTTGAAATCTGATCAGGTCAATATGTTTAAGCTGCAAATGTTTGTGACCATTGCTTCACATATCCACTGTGCAAGGGAGGGCTGGTCAGGCAACTCATATGACGTTATTTCTGCTTTCCGATTGGCCTAGTTCAAAGTACTTTCAAAAACCAAACTCATCTAATGTGAATATTCATATAAAGAGACATTTGCGCTGGTGTTTGTAATCCTTCCTGGATGAGCTTTGTTGCAGGTGGAGTTTGCCATTCAAATATTTGCAAAAAGTTAAAGGTCCGTACATCCCGCTGAAGTAAATTTGCTTCACACAAACGATCTCAACTTTTGTGTGTGTCTAGAACCCACCTACCTCTCCAGGTAAGGCTTTTCGCTTTAAAATAGGGCATAAAGCGGGATAGAGGAGAGAGCACAAAGAACAGGCGCCGCTCAAGAGAAGGGCGGGAGGCGTTACCGCGAGGGGAGGCGAGAGCGCGCCTGTGAAGCAGAGGGATGACGAGGGTCTCGCCGAAAGGAGGCGGCGAGGAGGGTCTGAGGGGTGCGGCGCTCGGTGAAACGCCCTCTGAATGGCGCGGAGAGGGCGAAGTGAGCGTTTTTATCTGTTCTCGTCCTCGGAGGGCTGGAGGACGTTCCCTGGGACGAGCCC